AACACATACCTCTGTGATGAGTCTCAGCTGATGAACATAATCTCTGCCAGGAAAAAGGGGCTGCCTGGTCATGATTTCGCCAAGTATGCAACCCACAGACCAAATATCAATTGCTGCAGTGTATTCTGAACAATTAAGCAGCAATTCTGGTGCTCGGTACCAACGAGTAACCACATATTCTGTCATGAAATCAGTTTCAGATGTTGTCCTTGCTAGCCCAAAGTCTCCAATCTTAAGGTCACAATTGGCATTTAGAAGCAAATTGCTGGGCTTTAAATCACGATGCAAGACATTTGCTGAATGTACATATTTGAGCCCTCGTAGCACCTGATACAGAAAGTACTGCAAGAGTAGGACTGAATTGTCAGTAATAGTTCATGTATCTTAGCTTTGAAAAACAATCCTATAATTTAAATCAGAGCTGAGGAAGAAAAAAGGAAAAGAAAATGCCCAAGTAAACAAATTATATAAACTTAAATATTAAAATCGTGTTATGAAGGTTGAAGTTAGGCTGCAAGCACAACTTTGTTCATCTTGCAAGTTGAAAGACACAGGGATGAAAGCCACCTTGAAATGAAATGCATTTTTGATAAAGAAAAAGAATTAATAACAACAATTAGCAGTAAATATTGAAAGTGTTTAATCACAAAGAGACAGAAAATACAAAGTCTTAGATTGAGGGAACATATTTTGTACTGACACGACAATGATCATCGGCCAACGATTGGTTGGAACGTATAATTTGATGAAGATCAGTGTCCATTAATTCATAGACAATGTAAACATCATTGAAGTTCTCCCTCTGTGGGGGGCGTATGATATCTTTGATGGAAATAACCTGCACAAATTGATTGAAAAGTAAAAACTCCCAAAACAGAAAATAACTACCATTGTGAAATCTCCCAGAAATGAAGAAAACGTACACAATCAGGATAGGGTATCTAAGTTACCCAATCTCTCAAAGCAGTGAACTAGTCTTTTCTATTATGAAAGTTTATAGTTCTTATATAAAATAAACATAAGAATCACAAACTAACATTCTCATGATCCATGTGGCGAAGAAGCTTAATTTCTCTCAAAGTCCTTTTGGCATCAATTCTGTTGTCAAATGCATTACCAATCTTCTTTATAGCAACCTCCTCTCCTGTCTCCGAATTCACAGCAGCACTGAGAAAAACCATAAAGGAAAAACATCATCTTCCCATTAATTAGCATCAATATTTCCAGCAGGACACAACCACATCATCTTCTCAACTTCTAGATCTAGACACAGCTCAATTTCATTAATTTTTCAGAAAAGCATGCAGATAATCATATGAAATGAAGAAACAAAAACATGAAGTCTAAAGAAACCAAAATATCACCATCTGAATTTAAAAAAATCTACTAAGCAGATCCTGAAACAAGCAGAGAGAATCAAAAGCAGCACAAGTGGATTAAGGAAAAAAAAAGGAGAAGGATTTAGAAACCTTACCAGACAATACCATAAGCACCTCTGCCAACAGGGCGTATGGGAGGAACATACTTTCTGGAAACTTCAAAGAGGTTACCGTACACATTATACCGAACATAGCGTCCACCGTGAGTTGGTATTCCCTTGATGCTGTGATCCCCGTGACCGGAACTTGCCTCCACTGACATGTCTTGAGGATCCGAATCAAACAACCCGGACCCAACCCGAAGAGGGAGAAACCCAGAAGGAAAGAGAGGTTTTTTGGAGGTAAATTCAGAAGAAGAAACAAGGGAAAGGAGGAGCAAGAAGGGCTAAATCCGTGTAGGTAGGTGTAAAGTACTATGAAATTTCAGTTTTGGGTTATTTCAGTGAACAGGTGTATGAACCTTTTGAACTGGAAGAGCTTGTTATCACACGTGATGGATTTCTACCTTTTTTCCAGATGGAAATTTCTCGTCTTTAATGCGCTCCGGTGAGGTAGATTCCAGTTGTAGCACCAAGGATTGATCTTTTTGCAGGAATTTGGACATGGTACAATGGTTCTTATGCAATATTTTGTCAAATTTGGAGTCTTGATCTCCATTTTCCACATTGTCCATGGTCAAAGTTGAAATTTACCATCACTTGGGCGTCCATATTCCTTCAGGAACAGGATATGGTTAGCATTAAAATACGTGGGGTAAGGCCATCGGCGAAGGGGGTTGGATCTACCATTGTAGTAGGTGAGACAATTAAGTCTTAGAAAACTACCTGCAATATATTTGGCTGGTTGCTACAGGAAAACCTTGATTTTCCTAGCTTGTTTAACACAATTTTCAACCATAATATATCTTAATTGGACAATACGTAAAGAGTTATAATATAATTGATAAGGAAATTTCCTCCTCATCTTCCTAAGTTTCAATTTCTTAAGG